CCTGACTCACCAGACTAGGAAGAAGAGGGCAGATTCCAACCCCTCTTGCCAGCCATCTAATAGGCATCTCCAGTGGGCGAGAATTTCTTAGGTTCATGTCTTTTTGCACTTTCTTTGACAGGCAGAGGCTTCTTTTGTTGCTGGGAAGAATTTTTCTTTTCCAAAAGCATCACCAGCCACTGCCAATGCTCTGTGCAGAGCACATGCAATAAAGATAAATAAATGTGGGCCAGGAGACCTCCTCTTTGTCCTTTCCCTTCTGTTCCTGCTCCCTGATGCTTTGAACTCTGGGCACTTCTGCTCTTGCTGGCAGCTGTGGCTACCATGTAGGGCCATGGTGTGTTACTTGAGGGTGAGGAAATTCCTGGAGGTGGTTTTAGACTTTGCTTGGAGGAAATCAGGGGGTGTCACCATGTCCCCTAGAGTAACTGACTTTGCTATCTTTTTCTAGACATTTTTTTAGTCATTCACTTGGTTTGGGGGGCATACTCTCCTCATTAGAATCCTTCTCAATTTATGTTCCATAGTCCACCAATGTTCTGGGAGATCTTAATAGATGCACCATGATTTTTTCCCCCCATGAAAACGTAAGTTTGGGAAGTGCTGAGTGAAATTGATTTCTTTATTGCAAGACTTTTAATATGCTAATATGCTTTATAAATCTCCAAGAAAGGAATAATACTTTAGTATGTAGTTTTTCCTAATTTGAACCTGCTGGCTTTTTTTTTTAATGGAACATCATTATCATCTTTTGGGAAATGTTGATCTATACAAATTAGAGTTGTCAAACTTCTGTTTGTGTCAGAATTACTTGGGGCTTCTGTTAAAAATATAAATTCCTTGGTTCCTCCCCGCCCCCCCCCACACCTTAACAACTAAATTTGAATCTCTTAGACAAGACCTAAGAATTTGCACTTTTAATAAGAACCCAGCACTCTATCTTCTGTTTATTGTTAACCACCCAGAATGCTTTTCATTCCCCAGAAACCGTGTGTTTCTTACCTCTCTGGTTTTATCCACACTGTTCTCTCCTATGGATTCACCATCTTCTCTTGCATCCTTGATACCATGTCTTCTTCCATCAATTGAGTGTAAGCCCCTTACAGTTACGGAATATGTCATATTCATTTGACTGTCTCAGCACTAATCCAGTCTTAGTGCCTTATAAGTTGTTGAATGGGTGGGTGGGAGGATGGATGGGTGGATGGATGGATGGACGGATAGAAGGAGGATGGAAAAATAATTTTTATAAAGTCCCAACATGTCTATGTTGCTGATGATCAAAGTGAAGTTAAACAAATGTCTCTGAATCCCTTTAGTATCATCCTGGGTATTTTGTGTACCTTGCCTCCAAAAAGCTTAATTTTCCCTGTTTTACTTTTCCAAGGTGAAATGTTAGGGCTCAGTAAAAACAACCACCATCCACCGTCACCCTGAGGGTCTTCATGAGCTTCCTGCTCACCTCTGTTATTTGCCCTCAGACCATATTTTTGCTATTTTTTGAAATAACTTATCTTCAGGAGCCACTTTCTTCGTTAGACTTCACTTCCTGCTCTTCTTCCTTCCCCCTATTCCAGCCTACTTTTCTTCTTTTTGATCTTTGTGCTGCTATGAGTCATCATTATCATGGAAATGATCAAGACACCTGTCAGGATAGAGTAAAAGAAGAATTCTCAGCAAACAGCAGACCCTGGGTGGATGAGAAATGGGGACTTCTGCTTAGCATTACAGCTTTGAATCCCAGGCATACTTCTGGGGAGTGGAAGGGGCTCCAACTTCACCTCCTCCCCACTGTGATCCAAGGAAATAGAACCGGAAAATACTGACAGATGTGAAGGCTTCGCCCTTCATTAGGTATTAAAGGATATAAACAGCTGTTGATCAGTACCATTGAAATATGGAGGAAAGAAAAGCTTTCATCTGCTCCTAGATCCCAGGGTAACCAGGAGACCGGGGCTGTTTCAGAAGTTGAGCTTTCTCAGTTGGGAAATACCAAACAGATGTGGCTCCCTTGTGAACCATAGTCTCCTGCACTTTTCCTTGATCCTCTCCAGCTTCCTTTGTTAAAAAGCCAACAGATGTCCCCATTAACGCTCCTAAGGTAGCAGTAACTTCAGAAGCAAGGCCATCTCCTCTTCGATTGTATCTCTGTCCACTTTTAGGGGTAATGACAGAAAATAGGAAGCCTACGAAGCCACCTTTTTTCCCCCTGTTATCTGTCTAATTACAATAATTTTTATGTCCTAGCCCTCAGCTTCCCATTTTTCTATTATGTAATAGGATTCACTGTCTTAGATCTGACACTCAGAAAAAAAATGAGTAGAAAACTTAGAGCTCCCCCAACTCATGTTTTAAAAAAGTCTTTGAACGTAGAGCAATAAGAACATTTTTAAAAATAATTACATGATCTCACCTACCTCTGTGGTTTTAGGATAAATGGGTGTCAGGGAAGAAAAGATCCGGGAAAGGAAGGGAAGGAGCGAGGAAGGGAACTCATATTTATTGAGCCTGCTAAGTGCCAGGCACTATTAATCTTTCTTAATCCTTATCATAACTCAATGAATTAAATATCTCATTTTACCAATGAGCAAGCTGATATTTAAACAAGCTAAGGGGCTTTCCAGTTTTACAGCTAACAAGTCATTCACAAGTCAGCATTTTAGCTCAAGAGTGTCTGGCCAAAAATCTATGCCTTTGTCATCCACTACCATTCACAGTATGTATCATTATTTTGTAAATTTTCCTTCACATAACTAAAGACTTCAATGGTTTTAGGAGGTTGTCTAGGATGGAGAGAATGTCAGAAAACCCAGTTTTTGCTATAATTTTTTAAAGAAACGACTTGGTTTTGTTTTTACTTGGTTTTGTTTTTGTTCACTCCTGTTTAACTAATTACCTCCGGCATGCCTGAGGGGTTTACTGCCACTATAGCTGTTCCCAGGTCACATCCCAAGAGGGCAGAGGATGACGTAGCCCAAGAAAGGCTTTGTGAGCTCATGACTACCCGTTACTGCCATTTGGTCATTCATTCATTCATTCATTCATTCATTTATTCAGTAAATGTTTGTCGAGCACCTGCTTGGAAGCAGGTTCTATTTTAGGCACCAAGAGAGCAAAGCAGAGATCCTGTCCTTGAGCAGTCTCCCTAATGTCCAGAAGGTCTAGTTGCTCCAAATTGCTCTGCACGTTTGCTAACATGAGTAGTTTGTTCAGCGGCCAAGTGCATAGTGGAAAGAGTTGCATCCCTCTGGTAACCTTTCTCATGAGACTACAGCTGAGTTTCATCCTCTCTCAAAATATTGTGGCAGGAAACACGAGACTAGAAAACTGTCCATAGAGATGAGCTTTTCAGCCATGGGCTGTCGGAGAACTGAGTTTATAATGAGCCTTTAAATTGTAACTTTGCATTTTCTATTGCATGTTTCCCTCATGGTATTTTAATTTTGATAGAAATGTATATAATACTGGTAAGACAGAATGTACATCAACAACATAGACTTCCAGTGTGGTAGACCCAACACCGGGCTTGTGCACAGACTCGGAAGAGGTCAGCTAGCTCTGCATTGCAGATGCTTGCGACACTGGTATGGCCTCAGAGCCAACGTTTCTCTCTTAGTCAACTACAGATTATAATTCTGATCTCACAGGGCTGTTGTAAAGATTAAATGAGGCAGCGTGAGTAAAAACTCATGGCTCAGAGCCATCAGCACCCAGAAGAGGTGCTGAAAAACAAATGTGTTAGTC